AGCGGTTGAGGAATCTCCACGGCACCATCACTGGGCGAGCCGCAGGGAATGTATCTATCTTCAGAATCAGTACCCGCCCCAGGTAAGATGACGACGCTCTTTTTCTTCTTCTTAGGGGCGCTCCGACCTGCCAACGCGAATAAGTCAGATAACAAATACGTAGGGAATCCCCAAACCGTAGCCAAAGAATTACCTGACGGGCCGTACTGCCGAAGAAATGCAGCCCAGGTACGACACTTCTCCGCATAGGGTATTATTCTTTCCACCCACGATTTAATGTCATCAACAAGCTGGGGTGGAGAAGCCCTCGCTGCGAATAAAAAAGAGGAAAGAAAAACAAAGGTCACTATGGCCGTATGGTCGAAGGCGCAAGCAGCACTAAAATCTACAAGTAGAAATACTTACGTTTTGGATTCCATCTTTTCGGGAACCCCTCGGGGTTTGACACCAGGGCTCCGTCCTGATGTAGAAATATTTACGCCAAAAGCGGCGGTTGGGCTTATCATCGGCTTCAACGACCAAGCCCTTTGCGCCACGACCTTTCAACTGCAGCATGGTACCCCTCAGGTAACCAGCGCTGAACAACTGTAAGAGGTGGTGGACCGAGACGCTGCACCCGGCCCTGGCCGCATAAGTGGTCATGATACGGCACACCTTCAAAGTATAGGGAGTGAGCTGGGCCGGACACACATTGTAAAAACGGCAAAGCTCCTCCACCAGAGGGTAGACTGGAAGGTCGTAACCAATCAAGAACGGGTACTCATAGAAGGTGCAATATCCAGGCTGGTGCACATTGGCATAATCCGTCCCGGCCGGAACCATTTCCACGTGGTCCGGAATATGGTGCATCTCTCGCAGATCATCTAAATAGGATTGTAGTAAAACGCTGTGCTCCCAGGGAAGATCAAGGCTTTTAGTTGGAAAATCCCTGCGAACGTGCATCTCCTTCGGAAGGACATTGTCTACGCTGAGAGGAACAAGGGCCTTCTCCGCCTTTTCCCCTTCACCACCGGAAGATGGCGGAACCCTAGACGGGGTATTATCTTTGGCCTTTTTATTATTCTGTCCGCGTTTTGTCATGATTATGCTACTTGAGAAATGAAGCACTGACGATAGGAAGTGTAGTTTCAACAGAAGTGGGAGAGTCCCTCACGAAATACGGTTACAGGACAGGAAGGCAAAGGAGTGTATCAGAAAATACTTTTCAGCGGCTTGAAAGTAGAATCAGATCAAACCTCTCTCGTACTTATAAGGATAAGTTGCACAGGAATCGAAGAGTCATGATTCAAAACGTGCGCCGGAAACCAAAACGTCACTTCATCCTCTGAACCGCCTCGGGGGCAAATATAATGATGATGCATACAGGCGATGACATCATTCCAAAAAGGAAGCCACGCGTCAGCAGCTTAACAACGTCATATGTTTCACTTCATTCATATTGCCGCCCCTGGTCGAGGTCAAATTCTCCTAAGCCGAGGTTCGTATTTCCGCCCGTCGAAGACGCCCACCGAACGTGTCTCCAACGAGCGGAGGGACTAACTGTATAGGGTCAAATTTGACCCTCAGTATCTCTACGCCAGTGTGTACGCCCAATGAGTGTACGCCGACCAATGTAGCGGGTACGACTCGGCCGTGAGGACAAAAGCGACATCGTTTAGAACTCAGCGTCCACACTAGGGAGACGTTACCTATCTTTGTAACTTTTTGATTCTTTCGAGGAAGGTCTCCTATTATATATAGGAGACCTCCACATTGTAAAAGGGGGATCTGATCTAAGACAACTCTCTCATTTTTCTGGCTTTCTCTCTCTATATCTCTACTTCTAACGAAAATATCTTATTGGTAAACATTGTCACTCTGCAATATTAGATCTACAACAATATTATCATCTTTGCATCTCTAGGCTTATTATATTTGATTACGATTTACCCCTCTTCTATTTTTGATTGTTTTATCGCTTACAAAGTATATCGTTAACTTTTGAGCCAAACAACATCCAAAAATAAAGGTCGACAAAGAAAAGTCTCTTTAACAAAATTTTATTTCTTGCACTTAATTAGAAGTTGACCCCCTCTTTTCTATCATAATTATGTAGAGACATTAGTCAAAAATCAGAACAGTTTTCACCTATTTCCCAACGTGAAGTTGATCAATTAAAACCTTTAATGACTAGTTTGACTTTAGTGGGTTGTTTTAGTTATTATGAATTGACATTAGCTCATAACTAGATTTTCTTTTCTATTTGGGATTTTTGTAAAGGTCATTATTTTGGCTAAGCCTTTACTAGTCTTTTCCCACTTCAATCATTCCTAGTAATTTTACATATGAGATTATATTGTGCTGGAAGTTCATAATGTGTTGGAGTTCTAATATAATATGCTGGAAATTTATATGCATAAGCTCTATAATCCATCATAATATGTTGCAACTTTTCTTGTTTCAGCTAAGGTATTTTTGTCCAGATTTTATCTCCGCATATATTTTTTTAATGACTTTACAAATGCTGGTTATTTTTCGATTATCAGTCCGAAATCTAGCTAGTCCATGCTATTATCACCACAATTTTCAGCTTCACACTTGGCAAAATAGGACATCACAAGGGATAATCTTTGATTTTCGTGTCGCCTGGCCAATGGGCAAACCTTCAAGGTCAAAATTAAAAATTTTGTCCATAGGGCAAAACTTGTTAAACTTGAAATATTGCCCAACGGTCGGTGACCTTACCCAAAGGTTAAAATTTCATGCCAGCACATTTCAAGGTTATTTGTGAACTTAATCCCTCTTATAGACTCGATCCTAAAGCGGCTAAACATTGAATAGTTTGTAATATTTGGCTATATCTTAAATAGCTGTCCTCTTTGCGGATATATCTGCACTGGGCCTGTTTTAACTCTGAACATTGTGGGCCTTATTTGGAATGTGGACCAAAATCATATAGGCTCCAACAAAGCCCATGATATTTCTCTGTAATAGCGCTCAAAATTGTCTGAAATTGTTCTGCAAAACCCTTAAAACCACCTCCTCTGAGGTTTTAGCAGAGCAACAATGGCGAAAACTGCAAAAGCTAACAAAAATGACAGTTCATCAAAGAAGAAGAAGAATAAGAAGAGCAGCAAATCAGGTCCAAAACTCAAAGACATGAAACACAAAGCAGCCGCAAAAAAAGAAAACCCTTTCGAAACAATTTGGTCTCGTCGTAAATTCGACATACTCGGGAAAAAACGTAAAGGTGAAGAACGCCGTATCGGTGAAGCTCGTTCTTCTGCCATCGAAAAGGTAACTTTTTTTTTCTTCTTCAAATTGCAACTTTTTTGACTGATTTTTCATTAATTAATTAACAGTTTTTTTTTTTTGAAATTAATAACAGAGGAAAAAGACACTGTTGAAGGAGTATGAGCAAAGTGCAAAATCGTCAATTTTTGTTGATAAGCGTATTGGAGAGAATGATGAAGGGCTTGGTGAATTTGATAAAGCTATTTTGAGGTCTCAGCGTGAGAGACAGGTGAGCTTTAAAAGTTCTCTTCATGGCCAATTTTTTGATTTTTATAATCATGTTTAGCATGGTTTAGTGAAAATTTTAATATTGTTTAGCATAGAGTAGTGATTTTTATCATGTTAGTATAATGTAGTGATTTTTAGCATAAGTAGCGATTTTTATCATGTTACTATAATGTAGTGATTTTTAGCATAAAGTAGTGTTTTTTTATCATGTTTAGCATAGTGTAGTGATTTTTATCAAGTTTAGCATATAGTAGTGACTTTTATTAGGTTTAGATTATTGATATTTGTCTTGATAGCTTAAAGTAGTGATTTTTATGTGGGAAAATAGTACAAACTCATTTTTGCACCAAGGGTGTCACCTAGTCGTCGATGAAGTAGGAGGAGAGCCATGAAGACTCAGGTTCGAATTCCAATGGAAGGAAAATAGCATTAGGTGATTTCTTTTCATTTGCCTAAGTTTTGGTGGACAGAGTTACCTATATCTTGTACTGATAGGAGGCAACAGGTACTGGGTGGGTGGAACAATTGAGGTGCACGCAAGCTGGCCCAGGCACCATCTTAAAAAAAAAAACTCGTTTCTAAAGATGATGTTGAAGAAGTGGTCTTTCGGTGGCCATTGTTGAGATTTACCTGGCAAATTTAAATAATGAAGAGACAGATAGAAGATTAGAGCACTAGCAAGGTAGAGAACTTCCCCTCAAAATGCACAAGTTCCTTTAAAACTAAAACTAAAAGTTGTAACCTATCCAGCTGGGTTTCTTGGATATTCGAATACGCTCAACTTACATAATCCAAAGGAGAGGGCTCGAACCCCCACAGAGGACCCTACCATTGAAAGTCTGAAAGTAGGGAGCAATACAAATAAATTAAACCCATTTTCAAACAAAGAAGATAATAATAGATAAAGTATGGATTCTAAGAATGGGAAAGGAATGGATCTTTGCCAGTTCATTTCGTCAGAATTGCCAGATTAACAATTAAATGTTCCTTATAATTCTAGAGGTTTAGGATAGGAAGGGGGCTAAGCACAACTTAAGGATGCTAAATAAGGGCATTCATTGGAATTTCAATGCGCATTGAGCGAGTAGTTAGTTCACGTCTTTTTGTAAGAGATAAATGATTGCATGTTTATACTAATGTACTGTTGTTGTACTTTTCTTTTATTTTTTTGATGAAGTAAGTAGTGTATTATTGACAAAAGCATCCAGTGGATGCACGTATTACAAAATAAAAGAAGATATCAGCCCCTAAGAAGAGAGCAACGAAAAATCTATCATAAGACTAGAGAGCTGATAAATTCCATAAATTGGTCAGAGTTATACATAGGGGAGAGTTTAACCCAACTAAAAAGAGTGACCAAACATCTAGCCTTGAGTAGGTATCTAGCAGTTGAGATGCCATCAAAGCATCTTTGATTCCTTTCTGTCCATAAGCACCAAAATATAGCAGCAGGAACCATAGACCAGATTTTCTTGATGGACTTCTCAACTTTCCATGAACTCCAACTCACAAAAACTTCCTTAACACTGCATGACATTGTCCAATGCAAACCAAAGTGAAAGAAACATGGACCATATGTCTGTTGCAACTGGACAATGAAAGAAATAAATGGTTGATTGTTCAGAGTTGCTTTGGCACATGTAGCATCTGCTAGCAAGCTGTAAACCCCTTCGGATGAGATTGTCATGGGTTAGGCATGCTCATTTAGAGTTAT